TCTATAAGTTGGAATGAATTCGGAGTTGAGTGACCATGTGGTCACTACGGGGGGATGTAAGGGGGTAGACCGGTTTAGGTGTAGAAGGATGGAATGATGGACGAGGACGAGGATGGAAGAGGACAACAATAGGATAAGAAGAGGATAAGAAGACTCCCCTATATAAGTGCCCCCGGTGTGGTAATAAACATTCTCAACTCCATTGTCCTGTCGTCTCAACTGGCGATCAGGACGGACTAACGGCGACGACAGAGAAGAAACCGCAGCTGCCGGCATCAACCGAAGGATTTGAAGGAGGACTACATAGAAGATGGAGGCCGTAAATGGAGTCGACAGCAAGGACGGTAAAATGTTGACCTCCACCAGTGGACCCACGGTGTTGATGGATGGTGGGACGCTGGAGGCTTATCGTGGGAGGCCTCCAGGACCTTACGTCCCAGGAACATCGTGGCGGACATGGTGGAGGTTATTCACCAAACTTCCTCACTCTGAGGAAAGTGGTGGAGGAGAAAGAAAAACGACTAGTCTTTCTCCAAGAAGTAGGAACTTCGAATTATGAACTGCTGGAGTCGCTGTTACAGGGTCAAGAACTGGAGTCTACTGATCTGGCCAGCCTCAGCAACGCCATGGAGAAGCACTTCCAACCCAAGAAGCTGGTGTTAGCTGAACGATTTGGACTAATGTCCAAAATGCAAAAGCCAGGTCAGTCTCTTCAGGAATTCTACGCGGAGTTGCAGAAAGCTGCAAATGGGTGCAGGTTCGAGGAGATAAAAAACTACAGGGACGCCATGGTAACGATGGTTTTCATCGGCGGCTTACAATCGCTGGAAACCAGGAAGCGATTGTTGGAAAAAGAAGACTTGACATCAAAAGAAGCTTTAGAGCAGGCCGAAGCTTGGGAACGAGTGGGTGTTAATGCTCCCCACTTAAAGGAGGGACCCCAACCGCTCGGCATTGCACAGGTTAAGCCGAAGAGGATAAACAGTAAGCAAGGACGTGCGGGAAGGCCACAAACATTGGAAAAGAATGTGAAACGCCTGGGCAAGGGCCCTGCCCGAGAGCGTGCGGCCTGCAATGTTTGTGGCAAGGTAGGTCATTTCGCTAGGGAATGTTTTAGAAGAGAGAAAGCGTCTTGTAAGCTGTGTAACAAACGCGGACATTTGGCCGGCGCATGTCGAGGAGCGAGTAGAAAAGGAAAAGACTCCCGCCAGGTGCATTGGTGTGTGGAGCCTCCCGGATGCTCCGATGGCGATGAAAAAGAGGATAGTTACGAGGAGAATACGATTTTTGCGGTAGGTCAATGTGGTCGCCATCGTAGAGCGAGAAGGCCGGTGAGTAATGGAAGTAGCCGAGAAGTGGAGGTGATACCGGCTAAATGGTTACGATGTCGGAAGGATGAGCCATATCATCATGATAGGAAAGTCGCTCATAAACAGAAGGTAGGTGGCACGACGGCTCAGTGCCAAGGTGAAAAAGGAAGTGATAGGGTAGCAACAATTTTGTCAATAGAGCCGCCTAGGATGTTAATGATAAAGATAGAAGGACACGATGTATTATTTGAATTGGATACGGGAGCTTCGATGTCAATCATTGATGAAAGAACATGGCGTAAATTAGGAGCACCAGAATTGAGAGATTCAGGTGTGGAGGCAACAGCATATAATAACGAACGCATTAAATTGCAGGGACAGATGTTAGCATCTGTCGAATTTGCAGGTCATAAAGCAGAAATGGAGTTACATGTATTCAAGCAAGCTACTCACCCGCTATGTGGCCGAGATATGATTAAAGCCTTGCAAATAGACTGTGGGCCACACTATAATAAGGTGCATAGCCTCCAGGAAATGAGTCAGATCCAGTTAAAAAATGGAATTGTTCGCCTCTTACAAGAGAACAAAGAGCTCTTCGAAGAAGGCTTGGGAAAATGTACATCATTTAAAGCCACGCTAAAGTTTAAAGAGAAGCCCACCCCAAAATTTTTCAGAGCGCGACCAGTGCCGATAGCGCTGAGACCAAAAGTGGAGGCGAAGCTACAAGAATTGGTAGCTAATGGATCGCTACGGGCGGTAGATCATAGCCAGTGGGCGACCCCCTTAGTAGTAGTTCCAAAACCAGGGGGGAAAATAAGAATATGTGGAGATTATAAAATCACAGTTAATCCGCAACTTGATATAAACCAATACCCGTTGCCAAAACCTGAGGACTTATTTCACCTGTCTAGTCGGAGGGAAAAGGTTCTCCAAATTAGATCTATCGGATGCGTATATGCAAGTGGAATTAGATCCGGAGTCCAGAGAGTTCACAACCATTAATACACAGAAAGGGTTGTTCGAATATACTAGAGTGCCATTCGGCATAGCCTCAGCTCCCGCGATATTTCAGCGTACTATGGAGACTATCTTAGGTGGCATTGAAGGTGTACTAGTATATTTGGACGATATTACGGTAACGGGGCCGGATGATCAAACGCATCTGAAGAGGTTGGAAAACGTATTAAAGCGGCTGAAAGAGGCCGGATTCAAGTTGAAGAGGCAGAAATGTGAATTTTTCAGAAAAGAAATTGAATTTTTGGGCCATGTGGTAGATGCGAATGGCATAAGGCCATCGCCAAGTAAATTAAAGGCCATGTTAAATATGCCAGAGCCCAGAAATTTGAAGGAATTGGAGTCGTATTTGGGTATGGTCCAATATTATGGTAAGTTCATACCGAGGTTAGCGACTCTAGCGGCTCCGTTGAATGAGCTGCGTAAGAAAAATGTAGAATGGCGATGGGGGAAGGAGCAAGTAAAAGCCTTCAGAGCCATCCAAGAGAAATTGACAGCAGTGGAAACATTAGCCCATTATAACCCAGAGGTGCCTGTGGTTCTAGCGACGGACGCGTCGGAATATGGGTTAGGCGCTGTTATTTATCATAAATATAGTGATAATACTGAAAAAGTAATAGCGTATGCGTCGCGGTCACTGACGAAGCAAGAGCGAAATTATGCCCAGATAGAGAAGGAAGCTCTGGGAATCGTATATGGCGTGGAAAAGTTCAATCAGTTTTTATATGGTAGACGCTTTACGCTTTTGACAGATCATCAGCCATTAGTGCGAATATTTGGTCCCAAGTTGGGACTTCCAGTAATAGCTGCGAAAAGGTTGCATAGGTGGGCATTGAGGCTGATGGTTTATTCTTTTGACATAGAATACAGAAAGACTGAGGAATTCGGGAATGCGGATGGGTTGTCGAGACTGCCGGACCCTCGTGAATTACCAAGTGCAACAGCGGTGTTGCATGAAGTGCACATGTCGCAGATGAGGGATGAGGTACTGGAAGTGCTGCCAATGACGGTCAAACAGTTAGCTAAAGCAACTCGAGAGGACGATACGTTGTGCAAAGTGATAGAATTGGTTCGGGTTGGATGGCCGGAGAAAGTGAAGGAGGAACGCTTGCGACCATTTGTGTCAAAAGGTGCATCCTTGTCGTTATATGAAGGGTGTTTAATGTGGGATAACAGAGTGGTTATTCCAAAGCGATTAGTACCAAGTGTACTAAAAATTTTGCATAACAGTCATTATGGTAGGAACAGAATGATAAGTTTGGCAAGGACAAAGATGTGGTTTCCTGGGATGGATGCCGCTATCGAAAGGATGGCTAAAGAGTGTAGTATTTGTGCAGGGCTAGGAAGGAATCCTATCAGAACGCAGCTGCATCCCTGGGAGGAACCGGAGAGGGTTTGGCAACGAGTACATATGGATTTTTGTGATACCACAAATGGGTCAAAATGGTTAGTCTTGGTAGATGCAAAGTCGAAATGGCCGGAAGTAATTAGGATGGGGTCAACAACCGCAGGAAGAACAGCGGTGAAATTGAAGGAGGTGTTTAGCAGACATGGGTTACCAGAGCAGCTTGTATCGGATAATGGACCGCCATTTACATCAAAGGATTTTAAGGAATACTGCGAACAGCGCGGAATTCAGCAGATATTCACCCCTCCTTACCACCCAAATTCGAACGGGGAAGCGGAGAGGTTTGTGCAGACGTTCAAAAACTCGCTGTATAAAGGGCTAAAAGCAGGGAAATCGGAAGAAGTGGCAGTGAGTGACTTACTCTTGGAGTATAGAGTCACGCCGCATGTGGCGACGGGGAAGAGTCCCGCTGAGCTTCTGATGGGCCGAAGATTGAGGACAGTATTTGATATAAAGAAATCAGGTGTGATTGCAAGGTCAAACAAATATAAGGAGGATATGAAGAAATATTACAATCGTGGTAAAAAGGAACGGAAGTTTGGAGTAGGGCAAGAAGTATTCATTAGGAATTATTCAGGCAGTGAACAGAAGTGGATCCCGGGCATAATCACCAGGGTGCTGGGCTCCTGCACCTATGAGGTGCATTATGGAGTTGGTCAAAGGAAGGTCCATACGGATCAGATAAAGGAGCGGGTAATACCCTGGGAATGTACGGAAGATTACATGTTAGGAAAAGGGGATAAGTCAAAAGGGAAAAGCCTAGAAGAAGAGACAGAGGTGATCAGATTGCGTAGGTCTGGAAGGAAGCGGAAGGAGACTGAAAGAATGAAGGAATACAGAGAAGAAAAGCGAAGACGTGTTAATCTGATCGGAATGAGAGTGATAAGTATCTTGGATAGGGCTTATCCGGAAGTAGTGGGTATAAAAGCCGGTGGAGTGAGTAAGGTCCAGTTATGTGGTTCCTGCCTCTGTCTACACCGCCAGAATCGCCAGTGCAGTCACAGTGGGCCACGGCTAACCACCCGGTATTTGTGGCTCCGGTGGCCCCGATGTCGCCTATGGCAAGCACGCCGGCTGTTAGCCCTGCCTCGTATCAAGGAAGCCAAGTCCACATGGCTCCATCTCCGCAGGTTGTGGTATTGCCGCAACCGCAACAACAAGCTGTGTATATTCCGATGTTTCCGTCGCCGCAAACTGCTGGAGGATCGTCAAGAGGACCAAGGCGCCGTGGACGGGGGAGAAGACCCCCGGCGTGGGTGCGACGCCTTCCGCAGTTGCAGCGGGAAACCGTGGCGGGACGAGAGTGTCCGCCGCGATAGAGCCCGCTCCAACGCGGAGGGTTCGCGCGCCCAGTCGCGTGAGCGTCCGAGACGCCAGTATGAAGAAAATGAGCGTCAAGAAGAATCCGCGTGATTAAGTATTCGAAGTTGTAATCAATAAAGATTGTTTGATGATGTTGTAATTGGGTGTAATTGAATTGTGGGAGATGTAGGCGGAAGCCGAACTTCCACGAGGAGACGTAGGCGCGGCAGCCGAACTCCTAGGGGGAGAGGTAGGCAAAAGCAGCCGAACTCCCCTAGTTAGGTCTCTATAAGTTGGAATGAATTCGGAGTTGAGTGACCATGTGGTCACTACGGGGGGATGTAAGGGGGTAGACCGGTTTAGGTGTAGAAGGATGGAATGATGGACGAGGACGAGGATGGAAGAGGACAACAATAGGATAAGAAGAGGATAAGAAGACTCCCCTATATAAGTGCCCCCGGTGTGGTAATAAACATTCTCAACTCCATTGTCCTGTCGTCTCAACTGTCCTGATAAAGGGCTTACGTTGAATGTATGTATGTATGTCAAAGTAAACATGCACTGAAAATGAAGAAACTACATCGTTAAAAACAAATAAATTTAAAGGGATTTTCGTCCCCCAACCCCTGGGGGAAGGATTGAATACCGCCCCTGGTATGGGCGTTCAATGTGCTATCTGTGAGTCTACCTTTAACCTGGCCACGATGGATGCTAAACAGTTCGATTAGACAAAATCGCAACAATGGACTCTGCGACAGCACCAAACGAAGCGGCCGCTTGGTTACCCCTCCTGTAGGTTGGATTCTGTTGCAGTACAGCAATCAAGGTAAAAGCAAGAGCAGGGATTTCTGGTTGAGATCTAGCTTCTACCTGAGAAGAAATGCAGATGTACGCGATAGGGGAGCATGTATTGGATTGTCTCATAATTCTTGCCGCACGAGCGCGCGCGGCGACTGCCCCCCCCATGCTATAGAAAGCTATTTCGGCACATTGCGCCGAGATAGCTTTCTATAGCAATTCGGGCGCAATGTGGCTCGGGGGGGGGGCAGTCGCCGCGCGCGATCTCTGCGTTTTTCTGTGTAAGCATTTCCTCTTCGCTAAATCGGGACTAAGCCTCGGGCAGGGGAGGAGGAACTCCAGGATCATAGCAATTTTCATCTTCCCAAAGTTCCTGCCCACTCCTAGGCCTGGTTAGTACATACTACAGGGCGCGGCCGAGCAGAGATCGCGCGCGGCGGCTCGTGTTCTATCGCCGTATGCGCTTGATAGCCGTATATAGCAGAGATAGCAGACAGCAGTAGATAGTCTCGAGATGGTGGATAAAGTGTTTATTCCTACTACAGAGGTCTTTTATACTGTCATCTATCTTATCGCGATCTCCAGTATCATATCTTATGCTGTTCTCCTCGACTGTTTGGTTCGCTGATTCTTCATCGCGTCACACCTGTGATATCACGTTAGACCTCCGTACACCTCAACCACATTATTTATAGCATTGAACATAAACACATAACAACAACAAACATAATTCATAACACAAAGAATGGTAGTCTCTCAACCAAATGGGGTCACATTTGTGACACTCCCCCCAGGCCTTTACCTTTGACCTCCCCTTCCTATGGCGACCTGTGATACTCTTGCAAATCTTCAAGCTCATGCTCTATTTCTTCTATCTCTCTGTACCAATCGTAGATGCGCTCCGGAAGTATGCACAGTGCCTTATTGTGTCCCGTTGATTGACAATACATACATGCTTTTTTCCTTCTCCAGCAAGATTTTGTGTCATGTCTGATGTCTAGACATTTTTTGCATCGAATGCGTTTGGTTCTTCCTTTTACGGTGGGGAATCTCCTGGACAGCTGTCGCTGTAGTGCTTTCCTTTCACAAAACAGAATGAGCATCTCAAATAACGTTCTTCATCCCTCATCGGATCGTTGTAGTTGATTTTCCTTTCGGGAACCATACGATTTTCATAAGTCCGTCTTTTTAGAAGATTCAGGCGTTGCTCCAGAACCTCCATCTGCTGCTAGATTGTCAACTTCTTCTCTGTAGTGCTTTTGCCATCATCATCATCGTCATCGGAAGCAAAGACTACCTCATCTTCTAGGTCAAGAAGATCTTCTTGTTCTTCAGTATCGTTTCTAAGTTCGTGCGCTGTCTCCTTTTCGGGAGAATCACTTTTGATAGATGCTTCTTTTGTTTTGAAGGACTCAAGCAACAGGTATATGTTTTCGTTCATGCGCCCAAAAGATGCAGAATAGTCTTCCTGCTCTTGTCTCATTTGTTGTTGCATAGTATCAATCTTTCTCTGCGAATGTATGCTGGAGTTGACTGATCATGTTCACTATATTTTCGAAGATGGATTCGTTCTTTTCGCTCTTCGCTTGGAGCTCTGCTTCCTTGATCTCGGTTTCTATATCTTGATGGAAGTCTTGCAGAAAGCTCGCCCCTCCGAGCCACATTGCGCCGATGATTTGGAGGCTTCTTGTAATTTTACTCAAAACTCGACTCGACCATGAAAGTCACAATAAAGCAGTAAGAACGGCAGTTCCTTGGGAGAGTTCCTCCTTTCAGTTTTCGCTCCATTAAAGTATACAGAACAGCTCAAGAAAAATGATGTACAGTTCAAGATTCTATGCAGTTACCCCTATATAATGCAAAAGCCGCTTCGATAAAAATGGGTATGTCTGAAAAACCGTCTTTCGGTTGAGGAGCGCAAGGTGATTACGTAGAAAGAGGAGAAAAGGACGCAACGTGTCTCGGGGGGATGGGCAGCCGCCGCGCGCGGTTTTGCGGCAACAGGAAATTCGTGAGCCAGGGGGAATGTAGCCAATTCAGGGGGTGAGGGCAGTCACTTAGCATGCGTGAGAAGCTGGAATGTTCGAGTTACACTACATCGCTGAGCCGCGCGCGGCGACTGCCCCCCCCCCCCCTCCCCCTGAGCCACATTGCGCCGAGAAAAGGTTAAGAAAGAGTAATGTAAGATGAAGTGAAAGTGATCAGAGAGAAGCACGACTTCCCTGTGCTCTAGCTGATGATGGCCACGTGGCCAAACGCGAAGTCGAGCTGGTCCACGCAAACCTGTACAACCACGAAATCAGCGCCAATCTTGAATTGAGTTTCCTGTGGTCGAATTGTTTTCTTATCGTTTATAACCTGTTATGAACGCGTTATACCCTGTAATCTTTGAAATCGGCTGTGTTTTTGAGTGTTCGGTGGGATCCCCCAAGTTCACTATTTCTGCACCACACACCCGATTCCACACCTATTCCCTTCCTAGACTTCAAACGGGCTGATTATAATTCCATGAAATGTCGTCTTTCCGAGGTTGGTTGGGAGCCACTGTTTAATAATTACAGTGACATTGATGATCTTTATAGACGCTTCTGTGACGTTCTTATATCTGTCATATGCAACCACGTACCTATTAGTGTCACACGCTCCAGCAGAACTCCCAATTTCCCCCCTTACATTCAAAATTTGATGTTCTATCGAAATATGCTGTTTCTTCATTTGAACCAAAAAGGTGTCAAGGAGCGTTACGACAGAGTTTCGCAGAAGCTGACTAAGCTCAGTGAGAAATACATCAGAAATCGTGAAAAAGCCCTACTGTCCTCCAAAAATGATAGGCATCTCTATCAATACGTAAATGCGAGATTGAAGGCGCACTGCACAATTCCGGCTTTCGTTAGTGACAAAGGTGAAATTATCTACAGCGATTCGGCAAAAGCAGAACTCCTTGCCGATCACTTTTTCTCTGTTTTTACTGTAGATAATGGTATCATCCCGGACTCAAGAAGTGATTTCAAGCATCAATTGAGCTCCTTTTTAATACTACCCCAGGACGTATTGTTACATGCAAAAAAGCTCAAATCCTCTTGCTCGCAAACTCCCGATGGGATCCCTCAAATTGTTTTCCGAAACTGTGCCAATGAGCTTGCTGTACCACTAGCACACATATTCAACATTTCATTACGAATGGGCGCTGTCCCCTCTATCTAAAAAAGCAATTGTAACACGCTCAATAAAAACCAGCAACCCAAAGCCCCTACTGATTATCGACCTATCTCAATAACTAGTACTGCGTGTAAGCTCATGGAAAGATGCATAAAAGATCGAATTGATGCGTTCATTGATCGCTACAATATCCTCCCCGAGCACAATATGGTTTTCGGAAAAAAAGTTTCCACTGAAGACAGCATGCTGGATTCAGTCCATCAATGGCTGTACCACAAATCCTTGCACCATATGATTGACATTATTTACTATGATATCGCCAAAGCATTTGATACAGTCAGTCATCCAAAACTACTGCGTAAATTACTAGATGTTGGCTTGAGGGGTAATCTGTGGAGTTGGTTAAGATCTTTTCTGAGTGACAGGGTTTTTTGCGTCAAGGTTAGAAATTCGATTTCTACATATAGACACGTGACAAGTGGTGTCCCCCAGGGCAGTGTACTGGGCCCGCTCCTTTTTAACATCTTCATATATGATCTTCCAGAATATTGTTGCACTAACCCTTCAGTCCAGATATGTATGTTTGCCGATGACGTGAAAATGTTCCTCCCTTTCCAATGCCGAAAACAAAAATGAAGCATACACGATTTTACAGCGTTCAGTAACTAAACTGATTCAATATTTAGATCAGTGGCAATTAAAATTATCAACAAGTAAAACGTGTGCCCTACACTTATGCAAAAACAATCCCAAAGCGCAGTATTTCCTGAGGCCATGTATCTCCATAAATGCTGTTTCTAGAACCAAAGATTTGGGGATTATTATTGATGAAAGCCTCTCTTTTGAATACCATATCTCCAAAGTTACTGATGCTGCTCGGATTGTGATGTTTCGTTTATTAAGAACATTCCGCTTGAAAAGTCCGTTACTGTTATCACGTCTATTCAAAGTTTATGTGCGTCCCCTTCTAGAATGGAATTCAGCTGTTTGGAGCCCGCATAAGAAAAAAGATATTGATGCTCTTGAGTGCGTCCAGCGATTGTTCACGAAGCTTGTTTATCTTCGGTGTTATCGTACAAGATTAGATGAAGTGCCCTCATATGATAATCGCTTGAAGAATCTAGGCTTAGAACGCTTAAAAATACACCATTATTGGAAAGTCGAATTTTTCTTTCGAGCCTCCAAATTTTACTCAAAAGATTTATATCGGACCCCACTCTTCTCATTTTTAAGCGTTCTAAGCCTAGATTCTTCAAGCGATTATCATATGAGGGCACTTCATCTAATCTTGTACGATAACACCGAAGATAAACATGTATTCAGACCATGCCGAGGAAGAGTGTCTAGGTTTGATTACTATATACCGCTCTCAAAAGATGCATGCTTTTCTAATTCCTTCCTTCATCGCTGCGTGAAGTTACTTCGAATGCTTCCAGGAGATTTCTTTCAGTAAGAAGACAAGCTTGAAGTCTATATTAAAGGATCCAGCATTGCAACAATTTCTATCTCTATGACTAATGGCAATAATGGAGAAAAAGAAATGATTTCTTTTTTCAATTCACCTTTTGTGGACACATCTTTGTGATGTAATAAATAAATAAATAAAAATAAATTCCCGCAACGAATGATGTTTCGCGCTGCGAAGCGCGAGAAAGTCGCTTTCTGTCCTAGTGAACCACATCCGCCATTGTAAACATGTACTTACTGAGCAAACCATGATAGAGCCCACATGTGAAATGCAACTTGAGAAAAGTTTTAGAAAAGAAATAAAAGTTTCAGAATAGAAAAGAAATAGCGGCGCTATGTGCCTCGGGGGGGGGCAGTCACCGCGCGCGGCTGTGCGGCAACAGGAAATTCGAACATTCCAGCTTCTCACGCATGTCATGTGACTGCCCTCACCCCCAACCCCCCTGAATTGGCTACACTCCCCCTGGCTCACGAATTTCAATTTCGACACATTTGTTTATCCAAGATTTATCTCTTCTAGGAAACAACTGATCAATGACATAACCACCATCATGGTCACTGATATGCGTGCATTTGCTAGTGAGCGTTTGGAAGCTTCCAGCCCAGAATGAAGGAAGCTGGGGGTTGAAGAATTTGGAGAAGTCGTTTTTGGGGTGGTCGCAATCTTTAACTTTCTTCTCTGGCAGATGCTTATTCAGGGCGCAGGGGAGGCGATAGTCCGATAGAGCGATGCCAATGCTATATGGTGGATGAGGTATCGTGGCCCGCTATCTCCCTCAGAACGTGGTGAGTTGGCATTGCAATGTGAGGTCTGGCGTACATTCGGAGAAAGGAGAATCTGAGACGTTTCTGACGATTCCCTCGCAACCCCGAAGCCAGCCTAGAGGGCTATTCCGCGCTGACTTTAGCAATGCTTGTCTTCATACATTGAAGTGGTTCCCAAACCAGGCCACCTAGCGAATCCAACAAAACGAGAGCGATATTCTCAGAAAACGGAGTTCGGGCTTTGGTTGAGCTGGTGCTTCCTGGCTGCGAGGCAGCCATCAGACGTGCCGCATGTTGTTGTCGCAGTGGACTCATGACTCATTTCCACTGGTGACCGATTAGGGAAGGCTCTGCTTTTGCCGTCCCAGAATGGATTTTCCCCAGATGGTCAGGCGTGCTTCCCGCTCATGGTCGGCCGGACCATAAGGTTTCCATCAAAACTTCATTCTGCAGCAGTCCTTGCCATACTGATGGCGTGTGCTGGTGCATCGGCTGCGCTCAGGTATCTGCTACAATACCCTGGTAGCAACGTACGGAGGCACTCCCAATTTAGGGTGCAAGGGGCGCTCATCAAAAATGACCGCAGGCCCAGTATGAGGTTGAAGTTCATAGCTCGTTTCGTCTTTGCCGTTGCGATTGGACCACTAGCTCAGTACCCTATCAGTAGCAGAGACTGAGTCAAACACAGCGCTGATCTTCTCTGTTGTCCTCCTTGCTACAGAGTTCATTTGAGGATCGTAAAGCATAATCATTCATTGCAGTCACTGACCTATTTTTATTCCTAGTTGATTAACCCGTTAAGGGCTTGCGCTTCCGAAACCATGCTGTTAAGGCTCTTGAAGCATACTTCAACATACTAACGTATTTCGCAATGAAACGGTCTTAGACGGAAGAAATTTGAAATTGAATAGAAATGCGACAGGAATTATGAGACAACCCAATACATGAATTTTGAGAGGACTTGACAAGGCCAAAGCCCTAAGACCCAGAATGCAGCACAAGCACCGCTCAACACTGACTCCACCCACAACCCTCAGTGCTTTCGCTTTTGCGCTATAGGTGATGGGGCTTCATTTTCGTTATTGTTGACGGTTTCTTACCGGTTTTGGATTACTAACTCGCACTTTACATCTCCTCTATCACTTACAAGTAACTGATCATCAGTCCCGGACTTCGCCTTCAGGATCAAGAACAATGGAAAAGAAGGTCCTGCCAAGACAATCACCTATGTGCAAGAAGGTTGTCTATGTAGCTTTCATGGGTTCCAAAAAAACTCCCTGCAAGGTGATCACTGTCAAAGTGGGAGAAGTTGGAGCGCGGGAAGACGCAATACTAAAAAAAAACATTATTCGAGCGCAGCGCCTTTGTGTGCGCGGACAATGGTACCCTCCCTTTCAAAAAACGAGAAGAGCGTCGGGTGCAGACCATACACCACAAGTGACGACGGCCTCCAAGTAAATCTGGTTAGTAGTGGTTCATAGTGATAGCTGATTTTTGGTAAATGATAGTTGTAATTAGTGACAACTGATAGAATACAACTGCAACAGGCTAATCATTTCATTGGCAGAAAACATTTACATTTTGTGGAGGCCGTCGTCACTTGTGGTGTATGGTCTGCACCCGACGCTCTTCTCGCTTTTTGAAAGGGAGTATAAATACTCAGTTTCGATGGAGTAACTGTCGTGAGCTCGCGCAAAACTTCTCGGGAAATTCAAACTTCATTAATGTCAATCAATTTACGCTTATAAGCAACAGCACTATATGTATAGGATTCAACAATCGAAACTCAACAATAACAATCTCAATGTCTATTATATCTGTTATAATGGGTCCGCGCTCTTCTTTACCATGGCTTTCTTGACCAACGGTACAAACTCAACATCCTCGTCTTTGATGCCTTCAGCTCGCCGTCTATTGAACTCTTTTCGCGACTCTGCCGCTCTGATTGCTGTATGTTCACGACTGGCGCTGGAAACGAAATGACTCCATGATAAGCTGCTTCGTTTTGAAGAATATAACGTGGTGGCAATATCGGGTCCAAAAAATATCTGAAAAGCTTAGAGACTCACTGGAGGATACTCTTAGGTACATTTCTATGCCGTGCTATTCGTCGAATCTCCGGATGTTCCTTGAATTGTTCACGTAGTTTTTCGCTATAATCGAAAGCAGCCTTTTCACGGGGTGCGAGCTAAAACATTAAGAAATTACCAAAACCAATGAGTTCAACTTACAGTTTTTTATCTAGGAGAACTTAAAAGAAACAGTAACAGTTTCGAACAAAAACCAAATTAAACGCAGGGCTAAGAAAATTGTGGTATATTCAAAATGAGCAACCAGACCAGGATCCTTATGCTACTCCTTCGAGGACAAAAAGCCCATCAGAAAAGGCTTTTCGAAAAAAAAACTATGCTAACAGAGAGTACGTGCTCATTCACTGGGCCTTCCCCGGGTAGCATAACATTCTAGAAATTTTTTTCATCAATGAAAAAATAGTGTGCGGCCCCATGAGATTTGAAGAGACGAAGAAAACGACCACTTCACATTCAATTGAAATTTAATGAGACAGGTATT